CCTCCTCCTCCTCCTCCTCCTCCTCCTCCTTTAGAGAGAGGGTAGGGGCTGGAGGAGAGATTCCCATGGGAATGACTCGCAGTTAATGTGTTTATTTTTTAAAAAATATGTACATCTGTATTTTTTTTCTGAGGTGATTCACTGCATTAAAAAGTGATTATTCAAGTGGGGCTTGGCTGTAATAAGTTGTAAACATAGGAGAGGCTGAGCCATGGAATTCGCTCAGAGTTGTGGACTCTCCACCTGTGTGATAGTGAATGGTCAGCAGTAAAAGATGCCCTTCACCTTGGCCTCACCCCTTGTGAGCACAGAGTGGAGGCCGTGTCGGACCACCCGGAGCCTGCAGCCCGGCTTGCCAGCGACTTCCCCCACTCCATAACACCCCCCCCCCACAGTTGCGTGTGTTTGTGACAACTGAGCACCAGGCCCTGTGGGCACAGCCGGGGCGTCTAGCCTGTTTCTCAAGTGTGTTCCTGTGCGACGGGTCTCAGTGTGTGGCCCGAGTTTCCCTTCTTTCTCTCTTACTCTTCTCCCTGTCATTTGCCGTGGTTTCAGGTCTGCACATTCCTTGCAGCCTTCTTCCGGCGACGAAATATCGACCAACGTGTCGGTCCAGCTTTACAACGGAGAAACTCAGCCGCTGGTCATCACCTTGGAGAACATCGGACTGGAGCCTCTGGAGCAGCTGGAAGTCACCTCCAAGCTTCTCACCACCAAGGGTAGGTGGCCTGGGGACCGTCCGTGTGCTCAGAGAGCCGATGCTGGCTTACCCAAAGTGCAGCCGAGTCACTGGGAAGCCTAGGGCTGCAGGCTCTCGTCACAGTGTCCCTCAGCGCCAAGTTCTTCACCTGGAATTTAAGTAAGTTGCTTATGGGCTTTGGTGGATGCTTGAAGGCATTCGTTAATGTTGCTGAGTGACAAAACTTTTAAAAATAGCATTTTTATTAACTTTATTTTATGCAGTGTATTTCTATTATATTCACCCCCAACTCTTCCTAGATCCACCCCCACCTTCGTACCCATCTAATTTTGTGTCTTTTTTTTTTTTTTGTGGTGAAAAGCTCATTATGTCCAATCTACGCTGTCATATACTCTTGGATGTGTGGCCATCATCTGTAGCATGGTCAGTCTACAAAGAGCAACAGATACTCTTAAAAAAACATGGGCTCCCTTCTTCTAGCAGCTATCAGTTACCAATAGCTCCCCAGCTAGGGGGCGGGACTTCCTGTCCACCTCCCCTCTCCATGCTGGGGTTTCGTTTTGGCTTGGCCTTTCATAGGTCTCGTGCATGCTGTTACAATCACTGTGAATTCAGATGTGCTGCTAGCCTGTTATGTCCAAAGAACAGTTTTCTTGTAGTCCTCTGCTACCTCTGCTTCTTAGAACCTATCCACCTTCTCTTCCCTGATGATGGTCTCTGAGCTTTTGGAGAAGGGGGTGTGAGGTAGATGTCCTGTTTAGGGTTCAGTACCCCTAAGTCTCTTATTCTATGACCTTGTCCAGTTGTGAGTCTCTGTGTTAATCACCATCTACTTTAAGAAACAGCTTCTCTCTTGAGGATTGAGAGAGTTAATCTATAAGTGTAACAGTTAGTCTTAGGAGTCAGTTTAATACTCTGTCCATTTAGCAGAATAACGGTATTAGGTTCTCCTCCAGGGCCTGTGCCCTCTCTAGCCACAGGTTCTTGGCCCTGACAGTGATGCCAAGATATGGGTTTCATCTTGTGGAATGGGTCTTAAATCCAATCATAAAGTGTTTGGTTGCCTCCATGACATTTATACCACTTTTGCACTGGTGAGCATGTCTTATTAGACCCATTATTATTGTAGCTTAGAAGGTTTATACCTGGGGAAGATTGGTGATGACTTTTCTCCTCTGATGATACAACACCCTCCAGCATGAAAGCTAGCCAGCAGAGATGAAGCTAGATTTCTCTATGTTCTATGACCCAGGTATGTGATGTCTTCAGGAATAGTTTTCTATGGTGAAACTTTTCCCCATCTCCTGTAACCTATCTTGCCTTCCTAATTTAGAAACTGGAAAATATTTTTTTCCTTTCTTAAAAATAAATCCAAGTGATACTCATATGACTGTTGTTCACTCTGATCCCGCGTTCTTTCTGCAGCACAGCCCTTGTGTGTCTCTCCCTTAAAAGAAAATGTTGGCTGTCATTAAGAACACAATTCCAGTCTGGGGCATGGTGGTGCATGCCTTTAATCCCAGCACCTGGGAGGCAGAGGCAGGTGGATCTCTGTGAGTTTGAGGCCAGGTTGGTCTGCAGAATGAGTTCCACTACAGCCAGAGCTACATAGTGAGACCCTGTCTCAAAAACACAAACTACAAACAAACCATCCCACAATTGCATGTCATGGACATCACACTTAACCCTTGAAGCTGTGACCCAGCCAGCTGTTCTGTCTATTCCCCGTCTACCTCCTCTGTTCAATCAGTTCACTTTTGGGCTCCCAGCCCAGTCAGCACGCCTCTGAAAACCTTCCCAATCCCTGGGTGTTGGGTCTTTTTCTGTTATCCCAAGAGTACTCTCTGTTGACTCTCTGTCTCCAGTGGGCAATGAGTGTCTCAAAAACCGTGACTAGCTTTTTTATTTTTAGGGCCTGGCACATCGTAGGTGTGCAGGGCTGCAGTGGAATGCCATTTTCATATTTAAATAAAAAGGTAGTGACAGCATCTTGTCTGCCTGTTGAGAGGATATGATAAATGTGGGGGGGTCACTCTGAAGCTCTTTGCTTCATGTGGTCCCTTGGGCTATGTGCCCAGCAGTGCTCTGGTCAAGCCATAGCCTCTGCTCTCTCAGGCCCTTCTTCCGTCCTGGAGGCCTTGGTGGCCCGAGGCCTCTCAGCACCGCCTCTGCTCAGGTGTGGCTTCTCTCTGACCCTGCTAGGCCCTGCTAGGCCCCGCTAGGCCTCCACGTTCTTACGCCTTTGAATTCTTCTGACTAGAGTGTTCTGGCAGCTACCACCCCCCACTCCTCACTCTTGTTAGAAAAGGATTCCCAAGTGTGGAAGAAATGAAGGATGTCATCGTAGCCAGCCCGTGCATCCCAGTCATCTTTTCTCCACAGTTGGCTCTTTCCTCTGTTGCCTCATTCTGTGTCTCTTACACCTCCTGTCTGTCCATCCGTCTCTCCAATGCTGTTTAAGATTGCAGATGGCAGTTCGTTTTACCTCCAAGTGCTTTGGCACACATCAGTGCAAGTCTAGTTCCTTTGTGTTAACCGTGTATACGTGACGTGTTCACCTTCTGAACAACACGCCGCGATGTTCAAACCCTTACCAAGGGTACCAGAGTTCCAACTGTACTCTAGTGTGGGACATTTCCACCCTCTGAGGAAGCTCCCTCAGGTTCCTTCCCAGGGACCCCCTTCTCAGAGGCAACCATACTTGTCACATTGGGTTACCCATCATGCCTTGCACATGCCTAACCTGGTCTCTTCTGTTTCTCAAGCAGGGAACCTCACTGCTTGTACTTCATAGGCAGGGACTCTGAAAGCAACAGAGGACAGCCACCTGTCTGAAGCCACAGATTCAGGGGGAAAGCAGGATGAGAAGCAAGATCCAAATTGTTTTTAATTTTAAAGATTTTTAGTTTTTATTTTACACGTATGAGTGTTTTCCTTGAATGTATGTCTGTGTACCGCGTGTTTGCCTGGTACCCATGGAGTCCAGAAGAGGATGTTGTATCTCCTGAAACTGGAATCAGAGATGCTCGTGAGCGTATGTATGGGTGCTGGAAACTGAACCCAGGTCCCCTGTAAGAGCAGCCAGTGTTCTTAACTGCTGCGCCCCGTCTCCGGCACCTGACTTTCAATTTTTAAAGCCACGGCACAGTGGGTTTCCTTTCGGGATTCCATCTATATGCGGATGCTTTTCAAGGCCCTGCTCTCAGCTCTGCTGGCCTCGAGGGAGGAAGACGTGCAGACGTGTAATGCCAGGCATCGTGTAGCCATTTCCGAAGCAGCACAGTTACAACTGAAAGATTAAAGCCATCATTCATTTTTTTATTACTGTCCCAAGCAGCGGTACATTTACATGTAGAATTAAATTAGCGAAAACAGGCCATCTGCTTTCAAAATATACAGAGGAAATAATCCCTGCGGCGGCTTGGCGGCTTGCATTCTGCAGTGGAGAAAAGCTGTTAGCATCAACAGATGACCCGCCTGACGTGAGGAGACGAGGAACTGGCCTCAGCTGGGAGCACTGGTTCCGAGGAACTGGCCTCAGCTGGGAGCACTGGTTCCGTGCTGGGGCCTGAGACTCAGCCATGCCTGTTAAAGGAGCCCCTTTTTCTGTAGACGCGTTGTCTTTATGGGAAGTCCAGTGCGCCCTGCTTCTTTAACATCCAACTGGGGATGTCTCTGGGTTCCCATGCCGTTTTCTTTGTTCTGAGTTACCTTTGTTTTCTACCTCAACAGTAGCAATCGCCATTCCGTTCCCCAATCTCCCAGTAGCAGGTGAGCGGCACATCTCACATTCACAGTCTCCATAGACGGCTCCAGGGAGGGGTGGTGAATTGGGCTTTTCTCTGCTGCAGCTTCAGGACAGAAGAGCTGGGGCACAGTGACAGTAAGTGTGGGCACATGGGGTGGGCTGTCCTGTGAACTGTGAGGCATGCTGACAGGACCCTGGAAGCCCTCAGGAAGCAGGCCCTAGGGAGCTTCCTTCCCTTGCACTCCGGTTTGCTTAAGTCGCCATCTGCATACCCTTTGTCTTTGCGGAGCGTGCTCAAGCTGCGCAAAGACAAGAAAACCAAGAAAGCAAGTGTGAACACAGAGCACATGGATACACATACGTGCCCCTAGGCCGTTCTTTTCCTTGTTTTGTTTTCAGATTCATTTCGCGCACGTGTGTGTGTGTGTGTGTGTGTGTGTGTGTGTGTGTGTGTGTGTGTGTACACACCTGCAAGTATGTGGATGTGCCTATGTGTTGTGCTGGTGCCTGTGGAGGTCAGAAGAGGGCATCAGATGCCCTGGAGCAGGACTTATGGACAATTGTAAGCAAGCTGATGTGAGTGCTGGGAATGAAACTCCAGCAACAAGTGCTCTTAACCACTGAACCTATCTACAGCTCCCATTCTTTTTCTTTTCAGTTTATGTGTGCGTGTGTTTATTGTATACGTGTGCAGGGGTGTGTGTTCACGTGGGCACAGGGGTACAGGTTAGAGGACAGCCTCAAGTTTCGTGGTCCTCTCCTTGTTTGAGACAGCTTCTCTTGTGTTGCTTGCTGACGTGCTCACAGTGCTAGCCGGCCTGCGAGCATCCATGGATCCTCCTGTGTCTGCTTCTCACTTCTCCATAGCGGCACCAAGATTATATGTCCACATGCCACTATGCCCAGCCTTACATGGGTTCTGGAAATTTGGACTCAGGTCCACATGCTTTGTGGCAAGTGTTTTCTTCATAGAGCCATCCCTAGCCCAGTTCCTTCACTCTCTGAGTTTATTTATTCATTTATTGATTGATTGTTTTTTCAAGACAGGGTTTCTCTGTGTAGTTTTGTTGCCTATCCTGGATATTGCTCTGTAGACCAGGCTGGCCTCAAACTCACAGAGATCCGCCTGGCTCTGTCTCCTGAGTGCTGGGATTAAAGGTGTGTGCCACTGCCACCCGGCTGGTCTATTTTTTTATTGCCAAGTTTATAATGAATTATTTAAAAGTAGTTTTTAGTTCCCATGTAGTTGCTTAAGCACACTAAACAAGTCAAGAACGTGAAAATATCTGTTAATGCTCAACATTATTTTAATATATTTACTCTATGATGTAAAGATTAAACATTTAGTTGGTGTATCAGAGGTCATTGTGTCAAGCAGCATATTTTTATAATTTGGAAATAGTTATTAAGATAGACAAAAAACAGAATTTAATTTAAATTCAAAGATGGTCCATGTTTATCACCTAGAATCTTGATTGGCCCAAATTTAAACCCAACAGACTGATTCTGCAATACTTTTAACATTAAAGAAATTTAGTGTATGAGTTTTGAGAAATACCTTGTCAGAGACATCTATATTGCCCACACACCATCTTCTGTCATTACATCTGATGCTTTTAATCATAGTTATGAAAGTAGCCAGGTTTCCTGACTGATTCTGCAAATACTTTTAACATTAAAGAAGTTTAGTGTATGAGTTTTGAGAAATACCTTGTCAGAGACATCTATATTGCCCACACACCATCTTCTGGCATCACATCTGATGCTTTTAATCATAGTTATGAAGGTAGCCAGGTTTCCTGTAAGTAATATTTTGTATGGTCAAAAGAAGTTAATGAAGTGATCAGTTCATTATGCCAAGTGTGCTTGTGCTTAATATCACCCTTTCCTGGTTTTTGAAGCTCAGATGTGTTGATTTTGGTTCATCATCAGTGTTAACACCATAACCACAACTACAAATATTGGTGTTACTTCCAGGAAAGGCAGAACTGGACCCTTCCTTCCACGCTCCCATCACTCAACTTGGACTGCTCTGTCAGGCCCGCCAGGTGAACACTGACATTCTTTAGTTAACAAGTGTAACGGCATCTACCTACACGAGTGTAGAAATTGTCCTTCCCGAAAGAAATTACGTACAACAAATTGCTTTCTAAAAATACAGAGATCACACCCGTGTCTCCTGTCACGCTGACAACTTCACCTGCATGCGCGTGCAGAGAGTTGAATGTCTGAACAGAGAGTGAGGCCTCAGTGTTAGGGCTTTGGCGGGTGAGATGCTCTGTGTCCCTTGCTTTCCTCCCATGGGTAGCGTCGTGTTCCTGAAATTAGAAACTTCTCCGATGGTGAAGGTTTTTCTATAGTGGTGTCCATTCTCAGTGCGAAATCACCAGCTTCATCGATGGCACTAAAGGAGACCCCAGCACTGGGGCAGTGACCATCGTTCGGACAGTACAGTAAAGAGCCGCAGGGGAGACGGGCTGGGTTATTGATTTCTATCTGGTGTTATTCTTCGATGCAGACCACCCTGTTGGGTTCTGGAAAATCCTCTTAGTCGTTCCAGTCTGCAGCCAGTGGTTCTAGGAAGAGATAAACACAGGAAGGCCCACTTCCGAAGCTTGAAGCCAGATTCTCTGTTGCTGTAGCCACAGGGCCTCCTTCACACTCGGACTTACCTCTTAGCTGTGTCTTAGAAATACTCTCATGATTTGGCACCAGAAGGAAATCAGCTGTACCCTACCCATGAATTGGCTTAGTATTTGAATGCGTCACCCTTCAAACCTCAGAACTTAGTAATTAGTCAGCAGTACACTCAGACACCGTTTGAAGTAAGCCACATGCTTAGGAAGGAAGGGCAGGGCTGCCTGCACGTGGGGCTTTTGGTGCGTCTTGGTTATTTATTGGCCTTGGGCTGCGTGGGGGCCTGGGTGGCTGGTGATGCTCCAGTCTCCCCAGGTGATCCTGTGAGAGCACGTGGGATCCTACGGTTGCTCCTAGTCACTGTCACCTTGACTGCTTGAGCCATGTTCGACAAGGCAGCTGAGTGCTCTCCTCTGGGTGCTCCGCCTCCTCACGCTTCCAGAGCAGATGCCCACGTCTCAGGAGTAGCCAGAGCCTTGCCCGGCGCCTCTGAGGCAGGCAGCGACCACTGCCTTGGCGGGCTCAGAATGGGCGAAGTCAGCAGATAGCTCTGCGCCCCTGGTCTGCCAGGCCTGGTAACCCTAGGAAAGGGCTTATCCAGCTGACTTCAAATGAGACGGAGGGGGTGGGCCACCCTTGAAGAAGATGGGTAGCTGTACAGGTTTATGGCTTCAGCTCTTTTTTTCCTTGCCCTTAGAAATTGCATTTCTGCAAGAGTGAAATCGAAATCTTCCTCTTCTAGGCGTGTAAAGCCACACGGAGCCTTGAAACAGTAGCAGGGGAACTAGAGAGTTACGGCCTCGGCGGCTCCTCTCTCAGGGAGTTGAGCGGGCAGCCCCCGCTCTCCCGTGTTCCGTCCACATGGAACCCGGGGCCAGAGCAGCTCACGGACCCAGGGGTCCGGTAACGAGCTGCCTGGAGCTGCCACATAGACGTCACTCACCCTGCTGATTTCCTGTCTTTTGGGCCCAGCCTGCTTCTGAAGTTGTTATGCTATTTTTATATAATTACTGTTTTTAACATTATGGCCTTGCAGGGTGAGGTTTGAAAAACCGATTGTGTGGAAGACTGGTTTCCGCTTTGTGTGTCGTCAGAGAGGAGAGTGTCATGGGGCGTGAGGAGGAGGAGGAGGAGGAGGAGCCCATGTGTTTGCTTCTGGCAGGTAGATGAGTTGCTGAGAGCAGCCTCCTGTGGCGTAGTGTGAGCTAGCAGGAGGCCCCCAAGGTGAGCATTTCAGCCTGACGGTCAAGTGGCCTTGCCGCTCAGGGGCTGGTTCACTGGGACGAAGTCCCTGGCTTTGGTGACAGTCTCTGCTCATGCCTGGCGTGGTTCCGTGCCCCTCTTCTTCTTGTGGTGACGCGTAGGAGGCACTGGGCACAGTCCTAGCCCCGCACAGCCCTGGCCCTCTCAAGCACTGGGGAACACAGGAGTGCGGCCCACAGGCTGCTGTTGCTACGGTCCCCTCTGTCACTGTTGTCTTGTGGAATGTCACCTGGCTAGCCACCAGCCGGAGCATTGTGGTTCTTTGCCCCGACTCAGTTTCTTAGCCTAGCATTCAGTTGTTGCGTTATACTGCTAAGGATCAAACTCACGGCCTTGACCATGCTAAGCATGCATTCTCGCTCTGAGCTACATCTCTCTCTGTTCTTCTCTCTTTCTCATTCTTTACTGTCTGGTTTTTTTATTTTTTTTATTTTATTTTTTTGTGGTGCTAGGTGTTGAACTCGGGACCTTGTGTATGCTAGGCAAGTGCTCTCACCCTACAGTATACTTCAACCTTCCTCTTTTTATATTTATTATTTATTCTTTTCAGTTTAGTGTTTTTTTTTTTCTTTTGAGACAGAGTTTTATTCTGTTACCCAGACTGGCCTTGGACTCGCAATGTAGCCCAGGCTAGCCTCAAACTTGTGGCAACCCTCCTGCTCTCAGATCCCCAGATGCTGGGGCCATAGGTGTGACCCATTGTACCTGGCTTACCCTTTTACTTTTTGTAGCTAGGATTTTTTTTTTTCCTCCAGTGGGTTTCATCTGTAGCTTCCTTTCGTACAGTTTTTTTTTTTTTGTTTTGTTTTGTTTTGTTTTCTGGTGTCCACTGTATTTCAGGCATTGTGCTTTAGGGAGCAGGATGGCAGCAGTCAGGATCCCCAGGGGGCTCTGAGTGTGGCAGGAGACTGGGCTGTGAGCAGGGGCAGCATGCCCACAGAAACAGAGGGCAGGAGAAAAGCCACAGCGGGATTATACTCTTGCCTTTCCTGGCTCTGCTCGGTTCCTGTCTGCCCTCTGGTCACCAACTCTTCCTCTTTTTGTCCAACTCCTCCACAAGCCTGTGCCCAGCAGCGTCTCCCCATCTTGACCCATGCTGGGCACTGGGGGAGGGGAGCCCCCATGTGAGAGTCTGATCCAGGCCTTCACCTGTCTCTGCGACCCATCTACGAACACACATCCACGTGCCTAGAACCTTGCTGACCCCTGATAACCTTCTGTGATTCCCCACCCCCCAGCTCTGACCTTCATCCCTGGGCACAGTGTCCATTGTTGCTTGCTGGCAGCCTTTCCTGCCTCTTCTAGAAGGCTTGGCCGTGCCGCTCCCACCACGCCCGGCCGCTTACACCAGTCAACAACACTCACCTTGTCTTTGTGTTCTTCCACAGTCAGACATTTATTACATTTATATGCAGTTGCTGTGCCAGCACATGAATAATGCATGGGTCCTGTCCTCCGGAGCGCGCGGTTCAGCGTGGGAGTCAGGCATGTGTTCACCGAGCTCTGGCTGCACACCCTGAGTTGTATTACCTCCGTGTGACTGGCCACCGAGAATGGGCCCCGCAGCTGTGCTTGCCGAGAAGATGTCAAAACTCCCCAGTGACTAAAAGCCATTCAGCTCGGCGCCCACTGGCACCCGGGCAGGATGGCGGTGTCTTTGTGTCTAGTTTGGCATTTTAATGGCAAATTCTAGGGGTCACGCTGGAGAAGTCCGCAATCTTAGCTGATCTCTAGACAGGGTGACATGCCTTGCCCACAGCACGGTGGGAATCGGTGCGCTTGGCTCATTGAGGGTGCGGATTGGAAGGAGGCGAGACAGGGAGAGCAGAAGTCACGGTTGGAGAGGTTTTTGTTTTTGTTTTTGTTTTTTTGTTTTTTTTTTTATGTTCCATTTCCACCAGGTGGGTTGGGTGCTTGGTGTGTTGTGCCTGTGCCAGGAAACTGAAAAGAGGAAACAAGCCCACCTCTTAAGACTGAAGCGGGCGTGATTTCACAGGTCTGGTGTGGGGCTCAACAAGGGGCCGTGGAAGAGTGGATGCAGGGCAGCTTGTGGGAGTGGAGTCTGGCTCTCCCCACTTCAGTTGTCTGAAGTATGAAAAGTTGGTGGGGACCTATCCAGACAGGAACTGTGTGGATTTGGTGACATGGTCTATGGCCTCCTGTTCATGGATGTGCCCACCTGGCCGAGCTGTCTGTGGCAGCACCGGATGCAGTCCCTGGCTTTCAGGGTCTGTCTCCCCTCTGCTTCCTCTTTACCAGCTTGCATAGGCTGTGGCCTCAAAGACAGCGCCCAGCCAGGGGGTGGAAGCCTGGGGGACCTTCAGAGTTCATTTAAACCCTTTTAAGATGTGAAAGCCACCTACAAAAAGCCTCCCAATCAGGCAAGAAGAATGCTGTATTTGTAATCTTTCGAGGTAATCCCTCTGCCCCCTGAGAGAGCTGGTTCTCTCATGCAAATCTGGGCCTCTGAGAGGCTAGTGAGTTTTAGTTCTAGGTAGTTGATTAATTTAGCAGACAGTTATCGAACCTGTTTGGTGTGCAGCCGAGGCAAAGTTTCTTCAGAGAGCTTTGTGCCGAGAGGAACCTGGCTTCTCGCCTGGCCCATTTTTGGAAACCACTCTGCTCTTGTCCTACCCTCCCCCTCCCACCAGACCCTTATCCTTCCTAGAGCAGAGACCACGTCTTCCTTACAGCGGCCGTGTGCTGACAGCGCACTGGCCGGATGGGATGGGCGCAGCGGCTGGAGCAGCTTCTGGGTCTCCCACCCCATCCATTCCCATGTGCTAGGTTGCTGTGCTGAGATGTAACATAGCCCCATTTAATCTCACAAAATTGAACACTGGTGCCTTTACTCACTCTTGGGAGTGACAGAGGATGTGTGGCTGTGCTCATTCAAGGAGCTGAGAGTGCCAATGTGGGGGGTTCAAGTTCAGGCCTGTGACCCCAGAGCTCACACGCTTGATTGAGTATTGAATTTTGTTCTCACTTTCTTTTCTCGAGGTATTGTTTACCTCCCATGAGGTTTTCCTGGGGAATTCTCCGGGCTTCAGTTCAAATGCTGGTTAGGTTCATATCTCAGAGAGGCTGGAGGATAGTGGAAAGGGCATTGTTCTTGTGCGATATTGCTCTGATTTTTCTTCTTGTCTGT